CGTGAACTGCAAACACGAGAAAATCAGGCTGACTTCAGACCTGGTTGTGGCTGCATTAACCACATATTCACCATTCGTCAGGTTATAGAACACAGACATGCTTATCGGCGTCCGACAATCGTGGTCTATCTCAACCTAAAAGCAGCATTTGACTCTGTAAACCGAGAGGTTCTATGGTAGTGTCTGTCATTAAAAGACGTACCTCAGAAGTACATAAACTTTGTGAAGGCTCTTTACTCGAACACTATTAATCGAGTGACAGCTTGTGGCGAACCGTCATCTGCTTTTGCAACCTCAAGTGGTGTCCGTCAAGGCTGTCCACTTTCTCCATTTTTGTTTAACTTCGTAATAGACCTACTGATAGAAATAACGCTCTCGTCGACTGAATTTTCGTTCATTGATCTCCTACCAGGATGTTCACTTATGGACTTAGCATACGCAGATGACATAGTCCTGTTTAGTGAAGACGCTAATAAAATTCAGTCTTTTGATAGCACTGAGCAACAATGCCAGTATGTTTGGGATGCGTTTTCCCCCCTCTAAATGCAAGTTGTTGCTTCACGACTGGCGTGCGTCAACACCTGAACTAAGGATAGGGAGTGAAGTAGTCGAACGCGTCGACAACTTCACTTATCTAGGAAGTTTGATCAGCCCTAATGGGTTGGTGTCTGACGAAATCTCAGCACGGATTCGAAAAGCTCGCTTGGCTTTTGCCAACTTACGTCACCTATAACGAAGGCGGAATATCCGTTTATCAATTAACGGACGAGTATACTGCGCAGCAGTTCGCTCTGTTCTTCTTTACGGCTGCGAAACGTGACCATTAAGAGTAGAAGATACTCGTCAGCTACTAATATTTGACCACAGATGCCTTAGAAATATTACTTGCATCTGTTGGGATCACCGGGTAAGTAATAGTGAGGTTAGACGTAGGATATTAGGGAATGATGGTAAATCAGTTGATGAGATTGTGAATCTTTGTTGACGGAGATGGTTGGGCCACGTGTTACGTATGCCTGAACACTGACTATCACGAAGCGCACTGCTGACTATTGTTGAGGATGGTTGGAAGAAAATTAAGGGTGACCAAAGCAAAACATGGTATCAGTCACTAACTTCTAGTCTGAGCCATGTTGGTAGATGCAGACTACTTGGTTGGGGTCCGCGTGACTATCGTAACCACTGGTTGGAGACTCTTGGTGACATGGCTCAGAATCGATCACAATGGTGTAGCTGTATATACTCTCTGTCTTCCCTTAGACCGTGAGATTGAAATCGCTTCGTATCTTTCTTTCTACGAACTAATTCTTTCTTCCTGTACTATAGCCTTATATGCAATCTTTCTTTTATATATTACCACCTCTGAATTAACTACTTCTATGAATCCAGTGTTCATCATGCCTAGCTACTGAGGTGTAGCAACTTGGACCGATGTATATATGTGCCTGGTCCTACGTTGTAGCTGATTGACTTCACCTTTCCAGTCACTGGTTAACCGTGTGGACAGTTGACGATGAACTGTGTTTGGAAAAGTCATTTGTGGTTAAGAATGTTTTAGAGAAAATAAAATGTGTGACGACAAGACAACTTAAGAACTTCATCTGTCGAAACCTCCATAGATGTTTTGAACAATGGAAATGGCGAAAGGAACTCTATTTCCCAAACGTGGAGTATTTCTGAGAGAAATAAATAAACATACACTACAATTTGTAAAAGAGGCTTATGACATTAGTTCATGCATTTATCGAACATACCACTTAACCATATGGATAAAATATATCAACAAAACATAAAAACTCAGCGTATGTCATCGTATGATCTTTACTATTCGTGGTTTTTAAATAAATGACTCGTTTAATGACAAATAAAATTCCTCCTAGTTTATGACAGTTCGGCTAAAACAACTGATTTAACTCATGATTCTTTCAGGAAATTTCAAAAAGAAAAATAAGACAGTTATTAAGCGATTACATGTTACTAACTACTAAAAACTATTTAGACGACAACAATCCTGTGATCACAAAACAATATCATCAGAATACTGAGTAATTATCAGACAGCTCATCATAACAGAAAACAATAGTGCTTGTGACAGACTGATCACTGAGTGGTGATAAATGTCATGTATGTTAGGTCCTTCTTAGTTGAGATCGAATCCTATCGACCAAGTTGCAATGTGGCCACTAGTTTAGGTGACTCGAAATTGAGCGCACAATGTTGAGATAAGATGGTGACTGGAGGTAGTCGACAGAAGACCCTTGATCTGGACATTGATCACCACCCACTGACCAATCAATTGTAAATATGTCCAAGTCATAGAGGTTGGATGCGGCCCGGTGGTAACAACCCTGAATGTGAAGCTGGGTGATACGGGATTGAATCCGTCAGGAAGCATCAGTTATCTCAAGATTGCTGAAGAGAGCCAAATGACACGAAACCTAGGTCTAGAGTTTTCTGTCGACTACCTCCAACCACCATATTATCTAGACAATAGTGTTAAATACTATAAATAATTATGCATAACAATTTATATGAACCGACCATTTAAATTCACTAATAAATTTGTAAAGATTTTAAAGAGTTCGAATAACTCAATTTACGTCAGAAGCCAATTTTTATACGTCAGATAGAAGTCTAGTTATATAGAGAACATACAATTATAAAATGTTGAATATTTTTAGTAGTTTGAGCATTGAGGTTAACACTGTTTTGAGTTGATTAGATGAAAATAAAACTAGATAATTTCCTTCCGGAATTATTGTTTTCTTTACAAATACTGTACAATATTTAATCAATTTTCTTTCTATTATATGCAGTAAAAATAATTAACAACGAAAATATTCACTAGGAAGAGTAGATAATAAGTTCAACTGAAAACTGACGATTTCAATATCAGATGTCTCCAATTCACTGGTATATAACAGAAATAGACTTATACTTATCGGAGTATGCAACGATCTTTAAAATAACACTGTAACTGAGAATAAGTTTTGATTCAGTGATTATTAAACGATACTAAAAAAACAATTAGTCTTTTGTAAAATCATTGTAATAAATTTAATTGGTCAGTCATAATTGATTTTTTTAGTCTTGTACATTTTTGGGAATGTATTGATCAATAAGTTACAGATATATTGAGAATACAACCAAATCTCCACAACCGACAGGAAATCATTAAGATTTGTCTTTTTTTCTAGAAATTTCTGAAGGACCCAGAGAATCTTCATAAAAGTTTATTTGAAGAAATCTCACACAATTTCTTTATTATTATTTCGAACCAAGTGAGCAAATAAATAACTTTTAAATGTAGGCCTAGGGTGTAAGAGCAGATGAGAATCGTATGGGTGGCTGAAGGGGAATGTTGGCCACAGATCGGATAACGCTGACCGATTTCTAAAGCTCTGTGAGATTTACAATCTATTTCAGATCAGCACCAACTTCTTTTCCTATTATCGCCTACCTCTTTGCTACCTGTAATTCTTGCTCCGCTCGAAGTCGTCGGTTACCGATAGGGTGGCTGTGTACGGAACTGGAGTACCTATCCGTATTGATACTACAATAATATCCCCTAATCTTTTGTTTTAGAGTCCAACAAATTCATTGTCCTAAATGGACTGATCTAAATAAACTAGGTACAAATCCTGTTAAAACCAAATATCATAGTTATGTTCAAAGACTAGTTTTCGACCCACTGACCACATCTTGACTCTCTATCAAATGCCAGAGCGCTACCACATTTGTTTCAGGATAACAATCATTGTTTCTTGACATCAAGGTCGATACCAACCTGTTAAATACGACTGCGTCCTGACATTGTCCATTGAAGACAAATGTGTTTAAGAAGTTTATTAACATGTTGAAGAATAAAAAAGCAATAGAGATAAAGTGGCAGCACAACCAACTCTTCCCATTCTAACCCAATAAAGGGATAAATATCGACAACCTTAAAGAAACAACCCGAGAAGTATAGTGGTGTAGACCTGTTAGTTGGTAAGAAACTTTTCAACCTCAAATACGCAAATGGCACTACCTTATAGTGCGGTAATATCCATTCTACCCCAATAGTACGTAATTATTAGACAGTTACCGCCCTTAAATACAGCATTTAACCTGTACCTTCAAAATTAAAAGTACTTTCACAAGAACGCTACGAGATTGCGAACGAACTAATTTATGATGGGGAATGTGTATTTTTGTGCAGCTGTCAGTATCGTTAGTGTTATGTCATTTGAATTCAATCTATAGGTAGTGAAGATTAGAGCGGCTTAAACTAATCTAGGTTATTTCAGCACCTGTTATTATTTTAGTTTGGTCCTAAAGGTTGGGATGTACAATATCAATGGGAGTATTTCTGATCTACAACGAAATACTGACCCCTCCAAGTTGAAGATGCTCGGTGACTTTCTGCACTCGAATACCATTGAATTCAATAAATTGTTCACACCTAGAGACGACACTTTGTTAGTTATCCTAGAGCTCAGCAATGTGTTCGAGCACTGTCACCATCTTAACAGATAGGATTCAGTAGCTTGATTACGCGTTACGCATGTCACTCTAAAGGCCTCCACAGTTCCCATTACTTGCCGACTCTAATTAGTATGAAAAATAGCTTCATACGACTAGTAACTTCAGGTCCAACAAATCTCCCTGATTGTGAAATCAAGGAGAGATTGTGAAAACTAATGGTTTGAGATATTATAGAGTATGGTTCAGAATAGTTCCCGATTATTTTCATCAGAAACAAGAAGATACCTGTCTTGGTTGGATCATCAACCGTACAATACCCTTTATTAAAGGGTTAACTGACTTAAAAATTGTAAAACTTTTCCATTTTCAATTTCTTAAAAATACTACCATTTTACTTTGTACGGAGCGTTTCTGATGTTCTAAAACATCAGAATTTACGCGTAATGTATTAGAAAGTGATTGAACACACAAACATATATTTACTTCTACGCATGCCGAATAAATCTAGCCCAAATGGAAGATAATGAAATCATACCAAACCGTTAAAGATTTATTTAATACAAAACATCTCAAGATTGGATTTGTACAGAATAATTTGGTAGAAAACAAAGAAATGCAGCCAAATATATTTACATAAATGTTAATAACCATCAACCACTTGTAATTTAAACAAAAACTGATTGCTTCCTTCAAATATGAAGACTACATTTTACTATATATAACTAGTTGGTTTGACCAATATATACATCATTTTTTTATTCCTAAAGAATGTTCTAAATGTTCTCTATCTGTACCGAATTGATAATAATGTGGAGCTAATTCCAGCAACCAATCTGGTTGTATAACACTGACACCACTGATACAAGTACTTGACAGGTCATTCTTATTATTATTATTTGATTTAGTATCATTATTATAATCTAAATTAGGTGTGAGAAATACATTTGTAAATAAGATATAAGCAGGCCACCGTGTTGTAGACGAGTATAAAATACAGTTAGGATGTAAGCGTAATTGATGATCTCCTCTTACAGTTAAATAATGTGAACCAGATGAAGCGAGACGAGCAGCCTTTTGTTAATAGAATGTAAAAAAAAGACAAATAAATAAATAAACTACATGAAACAAATACACTAACTAAAATGACATTTAACAGGCTATCATTCACATACATCACAGAATTGAACCTCATACACATTTCATCAATATATACACTTGTGTGATCTATAGAGATTTGTTCGTTTTAAAGATGATCGGTGCGAAAAGTTGATATTAACTACAGAACAACTGGGAACTAGAAAGAGTTGAGTAGATATCGAATTCTTCTTTCAAATTTTTTATAGCACATCAGCCTTTTTCAGGCTTTCTATTCGAATATTAATGGTTAAGTTAAAGCTGATAACTTCAAGTGGTGTTTATCAAGACTATCCAATTTTCTAGTTTTTATTTAAATTTTTTCACAGACATTCTTTTAGAGATAACAATCTCATTATCTGGCTTAAGATGGGTCGATATTTTATCAGGAGACTTCCTTATTGACTTAAAATACGTAGATAACATAGGACCATTTGGTTAAGAGGCTAACAAAACCCAGTCTTCTTACCGCCCTAAGCAGAAATATAAGCATGTTTGAAATGCGATTGTATCCCTCCAAATGCGAAATGCTACCTAGAGACAAGCCTGAGTCAGCAACTAAATTAATGACAGGAAGTGAAGTGGTTAAGTGTGCCGGCCACTTAATTTGCTTTGGAATTTTCATCAGTCCTCGTGGTCTAGTGTTGGGCGGAATCCCGGCCACGGATTCAGAAAGCTCAACTGATTTTGCCAACTTGTGATGTAGGTAAAATACCCGTCTGTCAATCGAAGGATGAGTTTACTGCGCAGCAGTCCGCTATTCTACTTCATAGCTCATAAACATGACCATTAATAGTAGAGGATATTCGTAGGTTACTAGTATTCAATCATAAGAATCCTCCAACACATCGCTCGCGTATTTTAGGACCAACGACTCAGCAACGTCGAGATTAGGGGTAGGGTACTAGGTGAAGATGGCAAGTCAGTTGACAAGGTAGTGAACGGTGATCAACTGAAGTGGTCGGAATACGTGTTACATATGCTTAATCATCACCTAACTCGATAGGCGAAGTTATTTAGTGTAGGAGTAGGTTGGGAGGTTAGGGGTGGCCGAAACAAAACGCAGCACCAGTCATGATCTTCAAGTGTTGAGACAAGCACAGTGCCATTAAACCACTGGGTCGGAATCTAATTGTTTATTATTGTGCCCCTGAGAAACACTAAATCAGGGTCAAACATCGATTCACTGCTACTTCGTATCCATCGCTGATATTACTTATCTAACTAGTCCAGAAGTACTAATCACATTTCATTTAAATATACCAAAAAGATATTTGGATTACTCTATATACAATGTTAGGACTATGAATGTCTATATCCAAGTGTTCCTCTCGTTGTTCATAAGAAATCAAAATCACACAATGTATATTCCAGTTGGGTAATAGATTAGAATCTACTGCTTATTGTGCATTATTCTGGTCACTACATATTGCAATATTTGAACATAAAGTATAATTCTTATATCAAATATCGCTAAATTTATGAACTGTATAAAAAGTTCATTTTATATATACGCTGATTTGTAATAATAAATGAAATGTTTGACAAATTTAATTTTGTAAGATACACTTTATTTTTGGGTAATTATTATCACTTTTATTTTTCTCATAGTAATCATGACAATTTATACATATTTTTGATATTCAATCATGTCATAGTCTCGCTCTCTTTCTCGTCTATTCACGTCATCGATGACTTGAGGTTGCACGAATATGAAAATTATTTGTAATTATTTGAAACCGGTGTAGTAAATGACTTTATGGATTTCACACATAGTATTACATACATCTAACATTTCTTTATTTCTAAAAATCAGTTAGTATGTGGAAGATTTAGTACACGTGAAATAATGAAATACATCCAATTCATCCCACAATATTTGTTGTTATTACTTTACAAAAGTTTATCGAGGGAACTAATTGCAATAATTCATTTATATGTATACTCAAATTTAATTTCATGAGATTATCTTTTCTAAAGAAAGATAAACTTCATCCAAGCATTGGATATGCAGTTTCGTGATAAACAACAATTATGAAAACAAAGAATTAAATAATTGAACATATGTAACTTCAACGAAACAACTTGATTGTCATAGAAGATACATAAAAGTATGCTTTGAAACGGAGAATAAATTTCTCCACTTATCACAAAAAATCATTGTTCACTGAATGAATTTAAATTGAAACAACCATGTCCAGTTGTGAGGATGTCGAGAAAACTGCCGTACCTGGGTTCGAAGTGTCACTACAACAATTGCAGTTACCGCAAACCATATCAGAATAATACAGTTAGTTAGCTACCCACCAATGGTAATGGATATTTGTCTAGTAATATATGTGAATTCACTTAATTTGGAAGTGAACACTATTGAATTCCGATTTACTGTTTATGAATGGGATAGTTAACATTGGATAACCTAAATGTTCATCGTTTGATCCAGTATGGATGCGTGAGTTTTGCTTAGAAGTGCCAGTTAGAACAAAACATCTGTTTTTTTTCCTTTTAGCTAACACTAGTCCGTAATGAAAAGTATCCGTACAAAGGAAAATATATATATCATGAATTTAAACTTTACGGTTGCAGAAAACTGGTACTAGTGGCTGAGGTTTTCTAAAAACAATTAAACACTATCCTAAAAAAGAATTATATAAGGTTAAAAAACAAAAGTTCAATGAGACAAATTGTTACTTGATGAAAAAATCCGCGAACAAGCGCCCTTAGTACTGGAATAGGATTTCCTTCAGGCTCTGCTTTTACCCAAGGCAATTTTAAACGATGAAACATGGAGCCGATTCGATCACGTAGTATAACTGCATGAGCTAGCCCACGTTCATTTAAACCTACTTCTCGACACCAGGTTCGAAGTTCCGACTTTGACAATAATTTTGATTGGTTCTCATAAGCAACAAATGCATTTAACTCTGTTAAATGATCACCTTGTTGACAACCGAACGTCTGCCTACGAATACGATCACTTGTGTGTTTATAATCAGAAACCGTAAATATTCGTTGAATCTAAAAAGCCAAGCAAAAATACATAAAATATTAACGAAAATTCATAGTTATATAAAAGTCTCAGTATAATTTTATTACGCACCAATAAATAACAGATTGTAATTACTAGAATGTAAAGTTATACCAAATTAATTACTCACTTGCATTAATGAGACAATCGCAGCAATCTCCTGAGAACATCCTTCATCACAAGCACCTAATAATGCAGCTGCAGTTGAAGGTTGGTCTAAACCACACGTTGTAGAAACTTCTGCTAATTTTAAACCACGAGGAATTGTAAGATGACCAGAACTAGCATCGAGAGCACCTAAAGCAACAAGTCGTTCAGCAGACTGACCTACATGTGATGCAGGTGGTGGATCGAGCCAATCAAACTGAGCTAAACGATCGATACCAAGCGTTTTTAAGCGTAACAAGGCACCAGATAAATCAACACGTAAAGATTCTGGTAGTGTAAAACGTGGCAAGAGTTTATTATATGCCTCTTCAGTATAAAGCCGATAAGCCTGTAATATCATCATAAGTGACAGAAAAAAGGACTATAATTTATTGTAAATATTAAAATCAATGATATTTTAATTACACACAATTAGTTATTGTTATATCTTGTGGCTTGTGCCCTATTAATATATAACGTAATGATACCGTCAACTAGAGAACAGTGACTTATCGACCGGACCAATGACGCATAAACCCATACGATCAGTCTAGAGTCCTTACCGGTCCTTCTTCCTGCCTAGCCCTGCCCATTAAGTCTAGAATATCAATCTCAGCCTCTGAGATATGAATCATGTACTTCAAACATACTGGGCTTATATACAAACCAAGCAGACAGCATCGCACCACAAAATAGATCACAACATTTGTACAAGATCTAGCTAAAAGTGTCCGTGAATGTGTGAGACTGTAATTAATAAACTGGGCATAACTCAAGAACGGTAAATCGTATAATAGTTTGTGGGTCAAAATAAAGTTTATAATAGGAGGAACATGAATATGCACAATTTAGTTACTTAATAATTATACAATAAAAATATATGTATCGTATTGGTCCACAAATAGTTCTCAAAATTTACCATTCATAATTCTCGTCGGGATATAACAGTTATTACATAGAAACTATTATCGATATATGATAATAAACAAGGACTTCTATGGCCGCTAATATTGTATGCGGATATTAGCACTCAAATGAGTAAACGTGACAGTCACAAATCGAAAAACAGAATAAAGAGCGATAAGCGGTTATTGAGTAAGTTTTAAAATATGTACAGGAAAGCAGGGGTATTTATGGTTTTTAGTCTGGGCTACATCATTATAATCCAACCGATTCGCTAGAAGGGACTTATATAATGTTCAGTAACGGCATGCCACGTTGGTATTCTAGAAAGTTCTATCAGATTCTGATTGGATGGAATCTCTTCGACTCCTGTAGGGCCTCTGGAAGCTTCGTCGCGCTTTCTGGGAGGTGTCCCGACAAGGATAAAGATGTAACACGACTAGTGTTATTGTATGTAGACGTGAGTTAGTAATATATACTTACAGTTTACTCTTCGAATCAGATGGAAGCACTGTTAGTGAACTGAAAGTATGGTTAATTTCCGTTTATTCAGTGTGTATTTTATTGTACGCACGTGAAAAAAAGAACTTTATGAATATCATAATATAACTTAGATATGTGGAAATAATCTCATGGTGAACCAATTTGATTGGTAAATATGTATATTGAGAGTTTTATATGATCGTCTTTACCAACTACAAATAATATGCTTTCGCTATTACATTCTCTTAGCACTAACATCAACTAATAGGAAAAATTAACAGAAATAATTTAAATGGGTAGGGTAGCTAATATACTTGCTAATAGCGAGTTAACAGACTTTAAAACTATTATTATTATAAATGAAATAACGATGTAAATAAAAGTGTAGCCAAGAGATATAGGTAACTCAATCATATTTTGCTAACCTGTCCAGTTCTTGTACGTCCGGCTCGACCAGCACGCTGACGTGCTGAGGCTTGAGATGTAGGTATAGTAACTAAAGCTTCAAGCCCATTGACAGGATTATACGCTCGAATTCTTGAAAAGCCACAATCAATCACATAAGAAATCCCAGGAATTGTAACTGACGCTTCCGCAACATTAGTGGCCACAATAACTTTACGACAAGACCGAGTTGGTCGTTCAAAAATACGAAGCTGTTCATGTTGAGGAAGGGAACCATGAAGCTGTAAGCAACGTAAAGGTGGGTAGTTAGTAGGTAACTTTGTTTTGGAACTTTGTTGCTGAGTATTTAAGAAACGCTCCTTGCGGTTCCGATATTCTTCAATTAGATTGCCAACCAGTTGGGAAACTTCATTCTGACCTTGGGAATCAAAATAAAACTGAATGTAAGTATTTTCCAAAAAAGAAACACGAATCAAAATTGCAAATGAGTTTAATGCCACCAAATTTCGTTTCAGTACAACTTCGTACAAAAACGCACACTAATAAGATAAAAAGGAATACCCACAACGTTACAGCTACAAAATAGCCATGTTCATCTAAAACCACAAACAATATATAATTTCAGGTTGAAGGAACTATATATTAACTTAATCAGCAGCAAATTTATTCAAATTTATAACAATTATTGTGTCAGGTCATCAGTTAAATTAGTATGTCAACTGAAACTTGTCAAATCTATCAGTAATGCGACTAATGAATAGAAAAGAAAAATAAATAACTACTGAGTATATACTTATCAGTTATCCTTCAAAACAGAACAACCTGTCGACTACAGAAATCTCAATATGCATAATCATTACTAAAAAACTGATGGTAAACAAAAGTCGATATCTTTATATTATCATCAATTCCTAATATCGATGTCCAATCGGAACAGATTTCTGCAATTTTCGTATATTGTTCAACATGATGTCAACTCAGTTGATTATGTAAAAAAAACTTAAAAAGTTGTGGAACAAAGTATAAATACGCACCACGATGTTATTGCAAAAATATGATAGCATAAAGTTTTAACTGATAAAAAAGTACTTCTATTATGTTTTCCTCTCTGAAGTAGTATGTAGCGGGAGATAAACAAAGCACACCAATCAATAATGGAACATTGAAATAAAGTGTATAGTACATCTACCTCAAAATAAGCAAAATATTTTGATGCATAGACGTATTCTTAAATACTGCAGCTAAGTAATCAGGTCATGTGAACAAGCCTAATCACAATAGACACAATAAAGTCTAGACTAATAATTGTAATTAACAGAGACTAAGGATGAAATTTCCTTGTCTATAAGACATGATTCATAACATATCCTAACAAAGTAGATTTTATGACGTACTATTTAGAGATAAAAACTGAAAAAGCAACTAATTGGGACTGACTGATTGTATTTACTACTTAGCAAGAAAAATACTGAAATGCGAACAAAACTGAGTGGAATCAGTAATGTGAGTAGTAAACAACATGTTGAATTTGACGGAATTGGTTCCTTTTATAAATTTGAATAAAGCCAGAACAAACATTGATGCAGAATAATATGAATTCATTATATTTGATAATTCACTTTTAACGACATATCTGAGTTTACTTTTAACAGCAGATATTTGAAAAAGATTAATTTTTATCATATCGATTGTTAGTGTAACAATAATTTTTTTAAAGCAAGCATTATAGTTAATGCAGGGATTTGTTGTTAATTTTTGTGGACTATATTCATTGAATGTAGAGTTCACACTTGACCTTTGCTACATGACCATGAACTTTTCACCTAATTTTATCTTTGTAACAATTGAATATTGCAGTTTTGGGTAATTTTTACTTATAGGTCAAATAATTTAAACTCATTATTATCTTTTAGTCATAGATAAAAAGAGTATTATTCAAATTTACAACAAAATGTGTTTATTGTGAGATTCAGTGAGAGGACATAGTAGTAGACGTAATTTATTTGGTCTATCTTAACAAGCATCTTTCAAGTGACTATTTAGAATCCATCAATTATGATATTAAATTTCCGTTTCCGAGCACGTCCCAAAGAACGTGGAACTGAGAGGTGCAATAGATCGGCATTTATTTGACACAAGACATACCACTGACATTTCATAAGCCTTCAAAATCATTAGCAGACGAAAAAACGCAGCGTTTTTTGGTTTGCCGAAACAATACCAATAAAAGCCACAAACCTGACTTCTGTATCTAGAAAGAAACAGTAATAAACTTATCACTATCTTGGTAAATTATTTTTTCATTATCATTATTTTATTAGTGCTTATTTTGTTATGGGGTCTTCTCTTAACTAATTCTTATTTTATGTACACCAAAACCATTCCTGCACTTATACGTTTTCATTCACTTAATTCTCGCTTATTCATTTTTCATTCCAGTGATCTTATATAAATCCATCATAACATATAAAATTATCAAACAATCTATCTTATCCGTCTCCGGACCTCATTTAATTAATGCATCACCTACCCCTTATGTTTTTGAATCCCAACTTCAAATGACCTCTTCTAACCTGTTCCTGCATTTATATATGTGGATATTATTACTAATCTCATATGGCAAATATTTACTTTCGCAGTTCTATAAGCTTCCTGGGAAAACTTGGTGTCAAGTCTATTTATATATAAGTATAAGATATTTAATACGATACCAACATACCGATAAAATGAGAAAAACAGTTCAGCACAAAACTTCATTGTGTGTGTTACAACTTATTAATCAAAAAGCATTCTGCACGTTATTACTCACTTGTTCATTTCGCTCAAAAGGTTTAAACACCAATTTTCATGAATATATATATATGCCTGTCGGTGTAATAAACCACATCATTATTCACTACAAATCGGTACCTAGAAATACCAGCTGATTAAAAACGATCAATAGAAAGCCCATATACATCCCAGAACCAATTTATACCACCGAGATATTTTTGAAATCTTTGAGGAACTATTGTCACTCTCAGAGATCTAAACCTACATCACTAAGAGACAGAATGTCAGTTTTATGAAGAAACTAATCAATATTGATTTCATTCAGTACAAATGTATAACTAGGTTATGAAGAATACAAAAACAAATTACAGTAGAATTATTACTGACTCATACTTAAAGTTAAGTGTGATAATCTCTTAACCCACTGAGCTGTAGTGAAATGTTATCAAATGCTAATTCAACGCAGCTATCTTTCATTCCGTGGTACCATGTCACAAAATGCCCATCTCTAGTTTTCAATCCCATTTTAGTGGCAATAAATGCTTACAATGTAAACTATTAGAATGTTATACGTAAAACGTGTGCAAGCTATTAGTGCTGAAGTCAGGTGGGTGATAAAATGTTTATTAACTGGAAGACAATTCTCACTGAACACACACGTCCTTTGAGAAATAATCGAAAATCTCTAACCTCCAGACAGGTCAAAAAGCAGTTCATTAGTACACATCGAAGAGCTAGGTATCGTTAGGTGTGTGAGATACCGTTCACTTATGGAGTTAAGATTTGGCAGTTTTTTCTTCCAAATTATATTTAAGTTGTAAAAAACCCACATCACTGCTATGTACAACTCTTATCGATCATCATGATAACTGAAGTTTCATCGTACACAGTGTATTGACTATGTTGTGACATATCAAAGAATCGATTAAAATCAAGATAACGCAAGTAGTGATGAGATACTATTCAACTTTTTTTTGAAATCTCTTTTGGATTAAAGATTAATGAGAGTAAGAAAAACAACCATTATTCCTTGAATACACGCATGTTTCAGGATTCTCTAAATTACAATCGTTCTGTTGTATGCTACAAAAATTGTCAATGATTTTTCTAACTGTATTTTTCTCTCATTTGCAACTAATACGATTCTGCAATTCTGAATTGTACATTAATATGATGTGAATGAACCTTTCCTTTGAAATTTCTTGTAAAAAGTAAAGTCTATCATACATCACATTTAGACATCTGTGAAAAAACAGTCAAGAAAATTTTGTACAGCTTGAGTAATATTCTTAATTTAACAATTATTTGCATCCAGAATGTTTACCTGTGACAAAGACAAGTATATCACCACCTAATGGTTTTGTTTCATGTATCCGAAAAACAGTCTCTTTAGCTGCAAATAAGTAACAAGGAACGGGATCAAGTGAGTAAAATATGGACACAGGATATTGACGTCCTTCCACATTTAAATGTGAAACAGGAGTTAATTTTAGCCCTTGATTTTCGGTTTCAACTTCAGGTATCCTCATTTTTGAAAAATACTCTATAAATCTAAAAAATAAATAATAGTTGTTTTTAAGAAAAAAGGACATCAGACAAACAGTTCTCATCAAATTTATTACTTACTTACGCCTGTTACCGATCGTAAAGTAGCATAGGCCACCCACCAGCATTCTCCATCCAAATCTGTTCTGGACTCGCCTTCCTACTTGCTTCCTGTTGCTATTCATCCTTTACATGTCTACTTCCAATTACCGACACAATGTGTTCCTTGTTCTTCCGATTGTTCTTTTACTTTCAGGATTCCAAGTTAGCACTTGTTTCGTGATGCACTTCGATAATTTCCGTAATGTATTTCCTATCCATATATTACATCTTTTACTTATCTCCTCTTCAGATGGAAACTGGTGTATTCTCTCAAACAGTAGACTGTTGTTGATGGTTTCCGGTCAACGGACGTTCAGTAGCTTACATAGACAATTGATTATAAATATCTGTACCTTTCTGACGATGGTTGTGGTAGTTCTCCAAGTTTTAGCTCAGTACAGTAGAACTGTCTTGACGTTCGAATTGACGATTCTCACTTTGATATTGATTGACATTTGTTTTGAGTTCCAAATGCTCTTCAACTGTAGGAGTGCTGTCCTTACTTTGCCAATCCTCGCCCTTACGTTTGCATCCCATCCTCCTTGTTCAACGATGACGCTGTTCAGGTACGTGGAACGTTCTACCTAGTTGTTTCATATTTCCTTCTCTTGCAACTTTCTTCGCTGTTATTGCTAGATCTTCCACATATTTCTGCTTGTCAGACCGAACTCTCCCCCTCATTTGCTTGATTGCGTCTCTGTATTCAGCTTGTGCATTGACTTGCTCTGTTCTTGTTCGGCTGTTTTCAATTGATGTCTTCTTCTTCTTCCTTTCTTGAATCCTGTCCAGAGTTTCCACGGAGAACCATTCCTCATGATAATGCTTCTTGTGACCCAGAACCACTTGACACGTTGTAGTTAGTGCCTCTTTCATTCCTTTCATCCATAGTAGTTTCTTCGTCTTTGAGTAGATCTTGTAAGGCTTGAAACCTGTTGTTGAGAGCCATCTTGAATTCGTTGAGTTTGTCATTATCTCGTAAAAGTGTCTACTGACCCTTTCTTATGTTATTTGTCCAGTTGCCCAGTGCTTCTTTAGCTTCAGCATCATCCTGGCAACCACCAGCTAGCGGTGATCTTAAGCTATGTCAGCTCCTCTCCTGGTTCACACGTTTTCTATTGACCTTCTGAATCTTTAAGTGATGCAAATATGGTAGGTCTGGTTCTGTGTAGTTTAACCCGATTGAACACATGTAGATTTGTGTATGCGTTTGCGTGGAAATACTGTGCCGCCTATAACCATTTTGTTGAACGCACATAAATTTGCAACTCTTTCACCTGGAAGTGCCTGTATAGACCAGATATTCACACTATATCAGGTCCTAGAACATGTAAGTCCTCCAACTCTTAAAGAAGTTGAAAAAGCTATAAGAAATCTGAAGCGAGGGAGAGCAGCAGGCCCTGACAGGTTCACTACTGAGATTTTTAAGGATGGTGGTCCAGTATTAGCAGTCAGATTAACCGACGTCTTAGGTAGAATTTGGGAACTGGACGTAATCCCATCTGACTGGTCTCAATCACTGATTACGCCAGTTTATAAGAAAGGACAAAAGTCCTCTTGTGACAATCACAGGAATCAGTTTGAAAAATATAGTGTCTAAAATATTAGCTTCAATAATACATCGACGCCTAACCAAGGCTCGTGAAGAGTAGAATAGAGAAAATCAGGCTGGTTTTCGACCTGGATGTTGTTGTATAGACCAGATACTCACACTATGTCAGGTCTTAAAACATAGACACACATTCAGATGTCCCACAATGGTAGTATTTCTCGACATTAAGGTGGCATTTGACTGTTGATCGTGAGGTTCTATGGCAGTGTTTGTCACTGAAGGAAGTATCAAAGAAGTATATTAACCTTATACAAGATCTCTACTCGAACACAACTGGTCGAGTAAGAGCTTATGGCGAATTGTCATCAGAATTGGTTACCTCAAGTGGTGTTCCTCATCTAAGTTTCCAGGAGTTGGACTTTTACCGGAAAATCCACTTCTTGATTTAGAATATGCCGATGACATAGTTCCATTTGGTGAAGACGCTGAAAAAATGCAGTCTTCTGACCACTTTAAGCAACAATGCAAACTGTTGCTTCATGATTTGGTTGCATCGACACCTGAACTAATGATAGGGAGTGAAGTAGTTGAGCGTGTCGACCGCTTAACTTATCTTGGGAGTCTCATCAGCACGGATACAGTATACTCAACTAGCTTTCGTCAACTTGCATCATTTATGGCGTAGGCGAGATATCCGTCTATCAACCAAAGGACGAATTTACTGCGCAGCACTTTTTTTCGTCCTACTTTATGGCAGTGAAACATGGCCGGTAAGAGTAGAGGATATTTGTAGGTTACTAGTATTCGATCGTAGGTGTCTTCGAAGCATTGTTCGTATATCCTGGGACCACTGAGTAAGTAATTCAGTTGTTAGAAAACGAGTACTAGGTAATGATGGCGTGAAACTTCATCACCACCGACTGCACCGACGTGCGATGTTTTATGGTGTAGGAGTAGGTTGGAATGAAGCTAGGGTGGCCAGATCAAAACATGGCACAAATTCACTGACAAGTGGACTGAGCCATGTTGGTAGGTGTAGACTACTTGGTTAGGATCCGCGAGATGATAGCAACTGATGGTTAGAGACCTTGAATGACATGGCTCAAAATCGCTTGCAATGGCACAGGTGCATCCACTCTTTGAGTTCCCCCAAATTCTGATTTTCTGAATTCTTCATGTCCCTTTTTTCCTCTTTCCAAATTTATTTCACTGGATTATACTGCTTGGATAACATCTTCAAACCCTAATGTTTCCGATTACTACTTACACTTTTACTACCTCTACCACTATGAGATTTGAATTGACAATTGTACCTCTGTGCTAATGTGGTATGGCAACTCGAACTGACGTACGAATTTCTAAGTTGTTGCTGACTGACTGACACCATTCTTGTTGCTTTCTCCCAGTCGGCCTATGTCGTCCCATGATATCTTCATATCTTCACTAGTGAAACTCCTTGCGTGTGCAAAGCATTTTCTTCCTTATGGTCAGAGTACAACAGCATCTCGACTTTCACCGTGAGGCGTCATAATTCTTCCACCAACTTCCAGGGCAGAGTTTAATTTGTCTATCCTAGTTAGCGTTATTTTAGCAAGTTTGTCTTCTATGGGATGAGGTTGTTGGTCCCACGCCCGAACTTCCTACTTTACCTGAGCTTTGGACCGGTATTAGCCCTAGAAGAGCTACAGGCGGAGTTCATAATGATTGCCTAGAAATAACTAACAGTGATGATAAAAAATTAAGTACAGAGTGAAAAGTTTAAATATATATTTGATTGTTGTAGTTAATATTAACTCCAAATGCTGGTGTGTGCTTGATTTAAAGAAGTACCGAGCCTTTTAATGAATGTTAGGTAAGCATGCTACATACTATATTAATTTTTATAAAACTTTGGAGGATATATCTATTCATCATTTATATATATAATTGTAAGCATATAAAGTTGATTGATTCAGTGAAATGAGTAGATGAATAAATTATGAAAGGGTGATCACTGGCAAAATGATTAAATTACTACAGATTATGTCGGTTATTTTTACTGACGCTGAGATGATGAATTTTACCGAGTTACAAAAGGTTTTTGTTATAATCGAACGAAGAATAAATGAATGGTAACTACTAGAGATTATTTGTGGATTATAATTATTATACATATTCTTATTAGATGACTATCAAGTAACTAGATCATATGTATATTCATATTCCTTTTATCATAAACTTTCATTTGACCTATTGACTACTATTATACGATTTACTATTCTCAAATTATTAGTTACAGTCTCTTACATTCACAGTTATTTTTGGCCTGATCTCGTATAATTGCCCTTCTCTATTTTATGATGTGATGCGGTCTGGTTTGTTTGTATATAAACCACGTATGTCTGAAATATTCGATTCATACAGTCGAGACTGAGATTGTGTTCTGGACTCAACGGGCAGGGATAAGCGAGAAGGACCAATAAGGATTTAGAGCTGAGGCAAGGCTGCTAGGGTTATTTGACGTGTCATTGGTTTAACACAAGAACAAGGTCATAAAAGTCGGTATTTTGATCGATTTTGTCACGTGACAATTGACAGGAGCAAAAGTCATAACGGTTTTACTTCGATATGGATTTGTTGATGTAGCTAATGGATGTGTACAGCATAGGAGAACTACAAAAGGATAATGGATTGGTGCATTAATGATTAAGGAGTTTGAATCGCATACACTATGCAAACGTCCGAACTCTATTTTATCTGCTTTAGTTTGGGCAAACAGGTAATTCATCAGCCTTTGTTATCGAAGCCAGGGGTACGGATTTTTAATTGTTAAATGAGTTTAATAAACAAATGGTTTAAATTCACTGCCTTTGAAGAACGAATTAAGCCTGATGATTTCATTGAGCAGACAGTTTCTAAGTTATATGTAGTTGTTTTTTAGTAAATGTAATTTTGAATGTAAGACAGCCACAGTAATTAAGACCTGTGATCGACAGATCACTTATTGATAACCAGATTAAAAAGGATGCAATAGGTGTTTCATAACGGTTAATGAAATAAATATATGGCGTAAAACAAACACTTTTAAAAACATAAATAAGGAGAAACTGACTTTTCAGCTTCTAAAGTAGCAGAAGAGATTATAACTCGCAAGTCAATTGGCCGTTTACGTAATACTTTCTTAATAAGACCCAACAAAATATCTGTTTGTAAAGATCTTTCATGAACTTCATCTAACATGATTACACGGAAGCGAGTGAGAAGCGGATCACGCAACAGTTCCTGTATCATCATACCCTCGGTAAGATATGAGATGACGGTTGAATTTGGTGTCCAACATTCCTTTTTCAAAAAACATTGTGAAAACATATCCATATATATTAAACCGAATTTAATTGAAAGAAAGATAAAGGAATTGATACTGTTAGGTTTTTTGCAAGAAGTTGGGTACAGGAGAAACGGGGACTCATTAGACACACAAAAGTCTATAAATTTACTCGCGTTTAAGATGGATTACATATTTCTAAAGCATCATAAATTTCACAGATCCGTAGACTGACTTTCCAAAGTTACAAGTGGAGCACACTTCACTCCTGCACGATTCAAAGTGGATATTAATCCTTTAGGTAAGCTAGTATTTGAAGATTTAATATGAATAGCGAATCCTAAGGACACTCTTTATTACTTTTGTTGGAAGAAATACGAATATTACCCCAATCAGTTATGGGATGATGTTTTGGGTTCCAATCCCATCCCCATCGCCAAATTCGCTAGGTTTGAAGCTATTACGAGTTCACTTAGTATGCGAACGGAACAAAGATTTGTGACCGAAGACCAATAAGCTAGATATTCTGATGCGTCCCAGCCCCGCTAACTAGAGGAAGTAGTCCAAGCTTGGAACGGGAAAGTATATTCCGTAAGCCAGAAGCACGAGTGAATGATAACAGACACAAATCAAACGTGTATGTACAGCATAAAACTGTCCTTGAGAAGCGTTGCAAAAATAGCATACTAAAAATACACAACGGACTAATAGCGTTAAAGATTCTCCCAAGTGGGAAATACGACATGAAGGTGAAAAGAGCACTTTTGAAGCGAAAACAAGGAAATTTAAATTTCCAAAATAAAATTATAAAATTAAGGCATTTACCAAGTGAGTTCCGGGGATCTAACCTCCCCAACAGTATAGCATTCAAATTCAGTTTAATATACACACAAATTAATCAGAACGGATGGGTTGAGGAAACGAACCACTGTTTAACCTTCTAACCTATTATCGTTTCGTACACGAATAGTAGGTATAATACACTGAATAAACGTTGGTGTTAATACACAAATAAATAACCCTGTGGGAAATGAAATGGCTAGGTTTACTAATTCGACAACAACAACTGATGTGCTAATTGTGCCAATTTAAAGAAGACATTAATTATGCTCCATAAGACAAATATTTTCGTCCTTTTTAAATTACAATCTATAATTATATTTTATTCAACAATGGGATGAATCCCAAATCTCTGTGTACAAAATATACTTGTACAACGGCTTTCAATACTTTGAATATCAAAATATTCTAACTGCCTTTTAATATGTTAATCAAACAAACTAGAGTGAACTAAAAATGAACTATTACTCCTCCCACTTTCCTAATTGCCATTCTTGTCCCTTTACTCTTAAATAACCATTGTTTCCAACACTTGCCGCCAGTCATTAAATAGTCTGTTAATTTATAAATACATGTTTCAACTTATTTATTGGATAATAGAGGTTGAAAAAAAGTAGTAAAATTATCCTATTAATTTGCATCTTTTAATCAGTTCCTTGTTTATCAATAATTTCTAAAACCTTTCGAATCCGAAATATGTAGAGTCATGATAAAAAGCTAATTGGAAAAATTCCTTTGAAAAGTTAACTATTTAAAATGTCTAAATAGCTTTCGCTCTCAACAAATTAAATAATTTCACGTCGACATTCAAAATGCGAATTGAGCAAAGAAATATTTTTCAGTTAGATTTCCACGACTTTACTCAACTTTCCGGAGCATAATAATTTGCGCTTGTTTCGTTTAAGATGGAGTACTTTTGGTTTATATCCAAACAATTGCCAGAGATTTAAAAAAGAGGAATAACCCAGTTTGGAAAGACTCTTATACACAAAAGTCAGAGGAAAAAGCGACGACGTATGGTAACTCTTACCTCAAAACGTATGATATATCCAACTTGTTTACCGATTCGCCAATTTTTCTCTTCAGCTACACGTGTAGCCAAACTTAATGCAGCTACACGCCTTGGCTGTGTCACAGCCATGGTAACTCCAAATGGATTAAAATTACTGGATTTTGAGTCCAACCAACCGGCTTCATAGACGTATTGAGGAAGTTGTGTAGACTTTCCGCTCCCAGTCTCTCCAGTAACGACTAAAACCCTGAAAGAAGATTAATATTGAAGCATCTACATTATTTATTCTTTATTTCAAACATAATCTATACTAAAAAGTGAATATTATGAACTATTAGTCTGTATTAGTGTAAATACTTGATAAAGCGTATAATCACAGCCAAATAAAAATAATAATGGACGTCTATTAAATATTTAAAGTACATCCATTGTATGATGACTATGTGAAAATAAACATATATCATGTGAACAAAATGAATGGTCAAATCATCACTGGAGATATCACTCCACTGCTCGAATGAAATCGTCCTCAAATTGATATAGAACTTCATCTAAATGCGACCAATCCAAAGAGACTAATAGCTTAATTGTTGTAAAAGTGAATTCTTAAGGTGTGATGTGAATTTCATAAAAGGCAGCATGT